TAGCAATCAAAGAGAGATCCAATGCTATAGTCACTCACCTAGTCCCAATGACCAAGAGGTCGAGATGGGGACTAGGGAGCGCCTAAGGGGGTCCTTATATACTAGAGGGGCTGCTTAGCAACCAAGGACAAGGCGCGAGAGCGAGGCAGTGAAGATGACAAAGAGAGAACAAAGGGTGAGAAAGAAAAGGCAAGGGCATGGCGATCATGGGAACGTAGCGTGCGGTTGTGAGAATGTATCTGCAGTGTCCAAACTGGGATAGGCTAGGAAAGGAAATGGTCTGAAAATGGGAGGTGGGCGTCAAAGAGAAGGGAATGGGCAGCAAAACAGGGCGCCTGTTCAGCATCCGCAACAACAGTACTAACACTACGTAAATGCCTACATGTAATGCATAGTGGCTACAGTGGGCTTAGTTGAGTTAGGCTTGCATTGCAGTTGTGCAGAAGCACATTGCACAGCTCGGTGACAGCAGGGTGGAATGGCACAGGCAATAGGATAATTCATGTTCACTTTCAACATTTTGTTCTAAGCGCTGCATATAAAAGGCACATACCTGATGATTACGTCTGCTGCTACAACCAATTCAGTGGTTGCGACACAAAGGAGCGATGGCTGTGGAGGATTAGAAGCGGTTGGTTGGACCTAATAGAGTCATGGTGGAGAGCATGTCTGAGCCTTGTTTCCGCTCACCTACTTGGTGGTAGCACATATTATTGATGATACAAACCAGAAATTAGTGAAGTTAGAAATTCTGCACTGTATTTGAATAATTGAATAATTTCAATGCTGAATAAAAATAACCTGTCTTTAACAACTAGATGATCTGAGTGCAGATACAATTCATGTTTTTTGTGTCACCCTTGTAACCTGTGTACTCAAGTGCTCAAAGTGCAGCCTGTGTAGTCTTACAATGAACCTGCGCAAATTGTTTTTGTACCTACGTCTTTATGATCTAACCTGTGTGGTGTCCAACCTGCGCAATTAGAACCTGCGTCATGTTTAACCTGCACTGATTTAGTAGTTTTGGGGACTTGATTTTTTGGACAAAATACCTTCCACATGATCGCCATGCCCTTGCCTTTTCTTTCTCGCCCTTTGTTCTCTCTTTGTCATCTTCACTGCCTCGCTCTCGCGCCTTGTCCTTGGTTGCTAAGCAGCCCCTCTAGTATATAAGGACCCCCCTTAGGCGCTCCCTAGTCCCCATCTCGACCTCTTGG